ATTACGTTTTCAATTTCACTGATTGTAATTGGGGTGTTTAAAATGTTTTTATCTTCTTTGTTCAACTTTGGTAATTCATGAGTATCTAGAAAGCTGTCCATTTCTTTTGTGTTTTCCATTTTGTTAGAGTACAGGTTCTCAAAGTAGGTATTGATTATTCTCTGGATTTCTGTTGGATCTGTTGTGACTTCACCTTTTTCATTCCTAATTGCATGGATCTGAAATATTGGCGGGGTTGTGGGGAGAAAGGAACCCTTCTCCATTGTTGGTGGGAGTGCAGACTGGTGCAACCACTATGGAAATCAACATGGAGATACCTCAAAGAGCTAGGACTAGAGGTTCCATTTGACCCAACGATCCCTCTGCTGGGTATCTTTCCAAAAGAATTAAAGGAATCATACCACAGTGATATCTCCTCACCAATATTTATAGCAGCACAGTTTGTAATAGCTAAATCTTGGAAACAGCCCTATTGCCCATCAGTTGGAAATTAGATAAAGATGTGGTTTTTCTATACAATGGAATACTACTTAGCCATAAAGAATGAGAAATTAGATTCATTCATAGGAAAATGGATACATATTGAGGATATACTCCTAAGTGAAATAAATAAGTCACACATATATAAATGCTGAATAGTTTCTCTGGTGTGAAAAGCTATAATAACACATAAGATCCTAATGAGATAATTGACCATGTGAAATAGGAAGAAAAGGGCTAAAGGTGTAGGGGAAAGTGGGAAGGGTGGGGGAAAGGGAATAAGGGAAAAGAGAAAAATATGACAAAATGAAAATAAAGTGTTTGTAAATGGGGAGGGAAGGAGGGGGTGAAGGGAGGGCATGGACAAGCAGAAAAAAAATGAGAACCAAGATCTGTCATGTAAAGGTACAAGATCCCAATAATGAATGTAATTGTACTGTATACCTAAAATGTACCAATAAACTCAATAAAAAAAAAAAAGCACTCTCCATGTATTCATGAATTCAAAGTGTTAATTTGCCACAAATGATGAGGACTTTTGGAATATAGTAATTAAATATTTCCAAAGTCAAGCAAGTAATGGGATGCTGAATACTGAACTCTAGGCAAGGAATGAGAAAAACAGGATCAGGGAGCCACATAAAATCCTCAAAATTGTTCTTATTCAGATCTAGAACAAATTCTATGAAACCAATTTTGATAAAACAGGATGAACAAGTGCTTATTGATTCAGCTATTCATACATGTGAAAATGAAAAAACCAAGACAACCAGTATTTTGCAGAAGCAATGAGCAGTGAGAATACTGATGCATCCACAGCATTTACCAGCTATGTGCTTCATGAGCTTCTCCTGAAGAGCAATAATTTATGCATCTTTTCTAATTTCAATATATAAATGTATGGTTTTGACACCTCAGGTTTAATAAAATGGATTTCCATTTCTCTTCAGTGAAAATTAAATCATAAAGCTGTATTTTAAAAAAACACTGTTTGTCCATACTTTATTTGATGACTTACAACTGTGTACATTCTTTCCCACTTGTATTTTATTCCATGACCCACCATTCCCTCATCTGAAAGAAACCCAAAAGGCATGGTTTAGGGCTGGGGATTTAGCTCAGTGGTTCTGCCGCCTGCCTCGCAAGTGCAAGGACCCCAACTCGATCCCCAGTACCCCCCAAAAATGTGTGGTTTATTGATTGATTCTGGGGATTGAACTCAGGGCCCCATGCAGTTAAGCATGTGCTCTATCACTAAGCTATATCCGAGGCCCCAAATGGCATACTTAAATCCAAAGAATACATACTCATTTAGAATAATCATAGAGGTTCTTCTTGAAAAAGAATTCTCAGGTCAAACAAGATAGGAAAATGCACATTACTATAATACTTCCTTGTCATAATACACACCAGCTTTTTCTCCACGGGAAAGAGAATCCTATGTTTGAACCCAGGACGCTTTCCTTATGACATCCATAATATCTTCTTTCTAGAAAGTATGTTCTGGGAGAATATGTGAATTAATTAATCATGTCCATTTCTAAATACTTGCCATCCTGGAATAATTGTTTCTCTGAACATTATACTGAAACAGTTCTTCATTGTTATGTAGGACAAATGCTATAAAGTCCCCAAGTGTTGGTTTGTTTCTTTTACTGACTCAGTAGTGTAACTTTTTTAACCTTAGAAAATCCATTCAAGAAAGTATTGGCAAAGTCACATAATCCAAAAATTAATATAATTTTAAAAGTACTCCCAGTCATATTCTGTAAAAAAAGCATTTAAAATTTTAATCTTCTCTAAATTAGTATATAATTTCAAGAATATAAGCACTAGAAATTTTAAGCATTAACTAGAAAACGTCTTGACTCCTGGCACTAGAAAAGATTCTCCCCTTTATGGGATTGGGATCAAACTCAGGGCCTCTCACAAGTGGTAGGCAAACACTCTACCACTAAGCTACTACATATCCCTTGCCCTAATTTTTTTTTTTTAATGTGTAAAATGAGCAGGGCAAGGTAGTGCACATCTGTAATCCCAACTACTTAGGAGGCTGAGGCTAGGAAGATAGTGAATTCAAGGCCAGCCAGAGCAACTCAGCAAGATCTTGTCTCAAAATAAAAAATGAAAAGGAGTTGGGATGCAGCTCAATGGTTGAGTACCTCCCTAGCACAGGTCCAATGTCCAGTAACATCAGCAAACCAAACCAAACCAAAACCACCCTAAATTGATTTTTCCATTTTTAACTGAAATTTGCCTGAAAGTGTTCTAAGTCTCACATAACAATTTGTAGAGATACATGCATACCCTTAATATATGTTCTATATGGTCTATTCTAATGGAAACTATTAAAAAATTCCAGTATGTTTTTACTGTATGCTATTTGATAAGAGTAATCATATTTTTATCAAAAATCTTCAATTTCCTTTTCAAAGACACTATGTTCAAAGTGAACTTAAATTAAAATGCTTTAACAATCTATCTATGACAGGTAAGCTCAACTGTCAACTGGACTGACTTTTGGGCTACCTAAAATGTCAGCACAGCAGACTTCTGGGCATGGGTGAGTGGAGGCACCTTGGGGTCCACCACTGCTCCCTGGCCCCTTCCTCTCTGGCTCTGTGTCCTGCTCTGCTTTCTGGCCACCACGAACTATGCAGCTTTGCAGCACTGTACCCTTTGACTGTGATATCTCGGCCTTGGTGCCAGCTATGAACGGAGTTTCCTGAAACTATAAGCCTGTGATGGCAAACCTTTTAGAGATGAATGCCGAAAGTGCAATCCAGAACCTACTTTATTCACAAAGTACCAACACTACAATTAACCTGCATACTGAGGTCTTAGTTTAGAAAAAAAACAAAACAAAACTTAAATATTAACATTGTCTTAAAAGAAAAAAAATTTTAAAAAAAAGAATTAAAGTACAGTAACGTGTGCCATAGATTTTACTACCACTACTATAAGCCACGTGAAACTGCTCCTCTAAGTTGTAGGTGCGGGGTATTTTGTACCAGCAGCAGGAAAACTAATCAATACACTTATTTGTTTGAAGGAATTTCTATTAGAATAAAATTGCCTTATTTTGCCTGATTAATCAAAGCTGTTTGAAATTCAAACCTTTTAACATCACTGACTGACTGAATTCTGAGAAAGAGAGCAGAGATCTGTAACAAAGTCACAAGAATTTTGTTTGTTGTAGCAAACACTTTAATGGAATTTGACACATCTCAGAATCTTCTGTGAAATAGGTTCAAATTGGTGAGACTAAATCAGCTAGGGTGGAATCTTTTATTTAAAAAAAAAGTAAAGAAAAAGAAAACAAGCAAACGATGCATTTCACATAACAAAATATAAAATGGAAATTAAATAACAAGATAGCCAAGCAAAAAATTTAAAGACTTTGATTCTATCCATTTGACTTGTGAAGAGTCTTCTTTGTCCTCCCATTGTTATAGACATGCAACAGTTCTGATAACTTAAGATGGACTTGCAATCTCTTACCAGGAGGTTAAAAGAAAATTTTTAAAAGGTGTTCAAATAATTTATAAATACTATTAACAAAATATTTCTTTTTTATTATGCTTCAGTGAAGATGCCCTT